AAAAAAAATGGAGAGTAAATTTATATATATATATATAACTCATGATTTAAATATTTTTTTTTATAAAATAACATTTGTATACTAATTTTAATTTCATTTATATTTCAGTCTTTTATTATACAAAAGTTTATTCAATTACAATATTAAATGAAATACATGAATATATATGCCTACTTGTGTATATATGTATGTACATATTAAAATATTATTATATTTTACTCTGAAATATTACAAGAATTTGTTAGTAATAAGAAAAATTAATTATTTCGGTGATGGATTTAACCATTTTGGAATTTTATTTTTTTTTTCATTTAATGATTCATTATTAGTGGACATATTAAATGCTGATCTACTATTTGTAACATTATTTATATTCACATCTTCATTTATTGTTTTAGTTCTTGATTTATCATTAATTTTCTAAAATATAATATAGAGAAAGAATAATATAATATATTAAAAAAAATTAATATTTATATTATAATAAATATAAATTATATCACTTACCTAGTTTTAGCGACTTGCAGTTCAACTTTCTTAGGATCTGTAAATTTTTGTTTCACATCCGATTTGAGAGTTGATGATCCAGAATAATGAATAATAGCACAGGGAACTAAGTTTTCATTAATTAAGTGAGAATTAGGATCCAAAATATGTTTTGGTGGTGTAGTAACTATTTAATAAGAAAAATATGTATTTTTAATTATAATAAACGCGTACATTCAGCATAATATATATTGTAGTATAATTTAAATAGGTTGAAATTAGTTTAGTATATATATTTATTATCATTAATTATGTAATTTATATAAATATTGTTATTAATAATTCTTTTTAAATTTTTCTAAGAAAAATAAAATATAAAATTTAATTGGTTTAAAGAAAAACTATAGAATGCCAGTTTTTGTATGATAATTTACTTTTATAAATACAAAGATTATTCTATTATTATTTTAAATCTTTCTAAAAGCATATGTGATGTTTCATATATCTGCGGAAAAAGCGTCGGATATAGATAATGATAATTAATGATACATGAAAATAAAAAAAATAATAAGAAATTTTTTTTTAAACATTAAATAGAGAATATATTAATGAACAGCTTTGGAGAATTGATTCTAAACATTAGAAACAAACATAATAGTTGATGTATAAAAATGTTGATTGGATTATTTATAATTTTTGAAATAATTAGATATAATTATATTATATATATAATATATATATAAATTGTTATAAATTAGATAAATTTAATATTTTTAAATGCAATATTATTTCTTAAAAATCTCTGCATTATTTTGTTTATATATATGAAATATTACTTTTACTTACAGATTATAAAATCACTATTTTCATCAGTTAAATAACATTTTATAAAGTCTTTGATCGCTTGTACAGTTTCCATTGGTTGAAATAAACCTTGAAGGACAAATTGATCTGGAAATTGTATACGGATTATCGTGTAATGATATTTGTTTAATTGATTTAATATTTGTTTTTTTTGATTCGACTGTCGTTGAACATTTGTTAAAAGAGGTGCTTCTTCCAATTCTTTTCTATAACGTTTAGCATCTCTTAATAATATTTTTGCATCATCAACTGTTAAATCATAAAAGTCATCTGGTAATTCATCTCTGAACGTTCCTTGAATTGTAGCCTGATTAAATACCAAAGCATTTCTTTCACCTAACTGCAACAAAAAAAGATTGTACATTTTGTATTAACAAAAAAAAAAAAAAAAAAAAAAGGAATTTATATATCTTACAAATCTTACAAATTCTATATTATTTAAATCATCTGATTCACGTTTACTGCACGATTGCATTAAAATTTGGTTTCCAACACAATTATCAGTACTAGTTGATGGCATTATTTTATCTTCTTTTTGCTCTTTTATTATTTCTTTTGTTTTTTTTTCAATGTTTTGAGAACATACTACTAATTCTTTTATTTTTTGCATTTCTTGATTTGTAGATACATTAGATTCTGATACTTGATTAGAATTTGTTGGTAATAAATAATCATTTTTAGAATTTTTTTTATCAATATCAATGTTTTTATTAACCATTTTTGATGTTGCTGAAGTAACACTATCTATGTTTTTGGGATTTCTATGTACCAGCCGTAATATAGCTTTACCATTATTGATTCCTAATAACTTTAAAGTTGTATTTTTTAAAGCTTCTGTTCCAGAAATCTGTAAAAATCAATAATAACATTAAATTGATTCGATATATTTTTTTGATTTCATTCTAAATTAATGATTAATAATATTAAAATAATAAAT